GGGAGATTGGTCTAGGAGCGGAGGGTGGTGGTCATGGGGGAATGGGAGGAGAAGAAAAACCCGGAGGAGATGGTGGGGGAGAAGGGTAGGGACAAACCTAAGATTTAAAAATAGGATGGGATAAATTTATCTTATATACAAACCTAGAAAACTTGATGGTATGAGTGAATTTCATTTAAGTATGAATTTTAAGGTCAATTAGCAATTACATGCTAAACTTCTCCATGAAAGGAAAAGAATTGAAAGCATTTATTATCCATTACAAAAGAAGAAAAAAAAAAACTGGACCATTTTAATCCATCAAAGCCAACTTAGAAAATAAAAATGAAAAGAAGTAGCCAAAATTTATAAGGAAAAAAAAAAAATATATTGACGTTTTACGTACACTAGAAAAGGTAAAGTTTTTTATTTTTATTTTTATTTTTTTAACAGAAAAAAGTAAAGGATGTTATCTATGAATGTGTGTTTTCTGAAAAAGGCTGAGTAATAAATATTAATATGGGGTTAGTTTTTATTTTACTTACTATCACACTTGTGGGATTAGTTAAATAAAGAAAAAAGAAATAAAGATTTTCTTTGGGTGGGATCACTGGGATGAAAAAACAGTGTGGAGGTATGCTTTGGTAGGCTAAGTATTAATATTGGACCATAAAATATCACGTCGCCCGAGCTATAGCCCATGTTAGCATGGACGTAGGACTGTCCCTGGGAAGGGTGTAAGGGTGGGGGATTGATCTGGGAGTGGAGGGTGGTGGTCATGCTCATGGGGGAATGAGGGAATGGGAGGAGAAGAAAACCCTGAAGGGCTGGGTTCGAGGGTGAAAAAACAGAAGGGTGAAGGTGGGGGGGAGGGGTCTGTAGGGTGAAGGATTTGTTTGGGAGTAGAGGGTGGTGGTCAAGGGGGAATGGAAGGAGAAGAAAACTATAGGGGAAGTTATAGGACTGTTGGGTCTCTTAGGATTTTTTTTTTGGTTCTCTTTTTCTTTAATTTTTTTTAAAAAAATACATTTTTTAATGATTTGAAGAACTCTTGAATGACATGTTGATTTAAACAGTAGGTGAATTGGCAATAAAAATTAGTTTGTGTACTTAATTTTTTTTTTTCTTGTTCTTATTATTTTTGGTTTATTCCTCATAAACAAGCTTGGAAGTAGTTTCAAAATTTTCCTTTAAAGGTTGGGTGCACCAAATTGATGTGTGCCTTTAGAAACTCCTTCAAGAAAAGCATATTTCGAAATTATAGATTGAGTTCGTGGGCATGTGAAACCGAGCATCATGTTCTTGTTGGGCCCCCTCACCTAGTGGACTAAACGGTTTGCAACATAGATAGCAAGAATTCTATAGTGAGGGCCTTATCTAAGAGCAACTCCACTCATTTGCCCTTTGTCACGGCAAGGGGATCTAGGGCAGCTACTATTTATGTGAATAGTGCTGTCATTGCAAAAAGTAATGTGTGTTTCCGCCCGTTGCCATGGCAAAGGGCAAATACTATTCTTGTTTTTTATTTTTAAACCTAAACAATTAATTTGGATAATATTTTCGGACAAGATTTTTGGGTTTGTACGTGTCAATATTTATTATAAAATTTATATCTCATAATTGGATAAAATTTTCTGATAAGATTTTTGGTTTCAAATTTCAGTCAAATTTCAAAAGGTATGGAATGTTTTGAATAAAAAGGTATTTTATTGAATGTTTTCTTTATTCACTCAAAGAAAACCAATACAAGTAATTAAGAATTACTACTAATGAAATAAAATACATGAATTACAACTAATTTTTAAAACAAAACATTAAAATACAAAGAAATAAAAGGCAAGCAAACTAACTTAATGATAAAGAAAAATAAAATTTGAAAGTGAATAAAATGTTGAGTAGAAAGTAAATAATAGTTGAAGGAGAAGAAAATGTATGAGGATTTATTGCAAAAAAATTGGTTGCCGTTGGATTGGAGGAGAAAAATCAATCGGAGCTCCCAGAGGCCACCACATGGCTTCTAGCTGTTGGCGAAAAGTCAGGGGTGCGTTTACGCCAACGGTAAAAAAAATTTGAATTCGCGGGCTGACGCGATGACGTCACCCAAAACTCAAGCTCGAGCTCGGGCTTGCCTTGCCTTCAGGCCAGCCCGGTTGCATGGGACCCACAGCCTACCCGGGCAAAACAGGTCTGCTGGAAACGAATTTTGGGCTCTAGTCGTTGAATTAAATTAGTAAGCCGTTATATCAAATTGGTTAATTTAATCAAACAATTAAGAGATAGGAACTCATTTAAGGGCTCGTTTAGTACACAGGACTGTCTTGGCATGAACTATGCTTAGGCACTGGCTTGGCTTGGCTTGGCTTGGCTTGG